AGGACAGACATAAATCTAGTTTTTGTCTTCATCGTTAGACATGGATATCTTGCACAGGAAATTAATGAATACAGGAAGCCAAAGAATTGCGGTTATGGAGTAAAATGACACGTTAGAAACGGAATAGGAAAAAATTGCAGGACTTAGATCTGTATGAGTGTCTGTTTCTCTACATGACCTACATCAGTGATCAATTTAATACAATTCAGAGCAATAAATGGATAGATACTCTTGATTCAAAATTAGGCATTTAAATTAGTTGCAAATAATTCTCCTCAATTGTGAAGTACTTCTAAATTGTACCATAAAAGAAACCTAGAAACATTCAATAACACATATTGCTGATACATTACACTGGTCCATTTTCTTATTCTATTCATTATCATTAGAGTTATAATGTATAATCTGAAAGACAAATATCATGGTTATTAATCATAAATGAATTAAGAAATTTTAGAAGTAAAATAAAATCCCTTTTAAAAACTGAATTTTTGTTCGGTTGCCGAGGCACCATGAAACATCATTACCTTTTCCAAACTTCCATGGACCACTGGGTCATAAATTTGTGTCAAAATAATAAATGAAATATATAAAAAATGTTTATGGCTATTCTTGAAACTTTTTGTTATATTGAGGCAAGTAAAACAGACACTATCCGAGGTCCATCCATAATCTAATTTTCCAACAGAAATTATGAGATGGGCAGACACAATAAATCACCAAACAGCTACTAATGGATTTAAGAGTCAAGTAAATCATATTAACTGCTTACAGCCAGAAGGGCTGTATTACTAACAGCATTTTACAAGCAGCACAAAACAGCAGCACATGATGCCCTTCTCGTTCTCACATGAAGTGCAGACAATATTTCACTCGACTAATTGCACTGAGGTTAACCTATAAGATCTTTAGTGCGAACAGTAATAAAAAGATGGTGTTAAACAAGAACCAGACTGCCAAGATTAACACTTCAATTACCAACCTCCCTGGTACATTTACCCCCTCTTTCAGACTACAAAAAATCACTGTATAGCTAGGGATAAGTCTTTTTCTAATCTGAGCATGGTATAACCAAATGTTGTATAATATAGCAAAACAGATATTTGAGCATTGTATAGAGCGAAAATTAAATAGAGAATCAGGATTAAACTTCTAATTTGAATGTTTTATTATGCAATTTTAGTATACATTTCTTAAGCCCTGTTCAGATTTACTATGGTAAACTGCTGCGTTTTAAAAATAATGACGGAAGGGTAAACGCTGAACATTTCTGTATCATATAAGTGAAAACACACAGGACCTTTGTTGTGCATATTTGCCCCTCATTTACTGTATTTCACATATTACAAAAAAAAAACAAAAAAAAACAACGCAGTGCAGTGCTTTACCATGACATATAAGTGAACATAGTGTGAATAGATTATGATAAGAAAGATGAGAACATTGATGAGACAGGTTTTTGTTTGGCTGGCAGGTGAGGATAAAGAGCTCAAACGAAAGCTAAACTAGCCATGATCAAGTCATTAGTCATCGTGATAATTGAACCAGGGGGACATACATTAGGCTAGCAGACAAGGATCAAAAGTGTTGACATGGGTCCTTCCCACACACCCTCTAGCTCTCTTGGTCTCGGTCTCTACCCTCCACCCACCCCCTCTCTCCTTCTCTTCCCATCTCTTTCTCCCTCTCTCTCTCCCTCTCTCTCTCTCTCTCTCTCTCACTTTCTATATCTCAATCTCTCTCTCTCTCTCTCTCTCTCTCTCTATCTCTCTCTCACTGTTTTTTTGTTTTTCCTTTATTCTTTCTTTCTTTGTTATTGTCAAAATTATATGGTATTTGTGAGTACAATTCATATTTTGTTGTGTCAGCATGATTTTCCTTCGTTTAAAAGACAAGAAAGCCTTACCAACCGAAAAGTGGAATGCCAGAGCATGATTATAAAAATTTCTGACAATTATTTAGTTCAATTCAGTCATAAATTGTGACAATTACAACCCATGAGGGACATGAAAAGAAATACAATTTCTGATGTCCTTTCCCATCAAGAATTCCGCTCCTCTCTGTCACTTTCTCTCTCTGCTCGTCTATCTCCCACTCCCTCTCTATCTCGGTCTCCATCTTCTCACTTTTTTTAGTCACTTTACCATGGGAGTTATGATCAAGACATCTATTATCACACAGGGCATACAGATTTTAATTCTTTCTTCTTTCCATTTCTTCTCTATCTCTCCTTCAATTTCTCTTTTTCTCTCTCTATCTCTCTCTGTCTCCATCTTCCTATACCTTTTTGAGTCATTACGTTATGTGAGCTAGGAATAAGACTCCTATCCTCTCGATCTCCTTTCTCTCATTACAACACTTATCATCACAATGGGCATAACAAGATTGTTTTCTTTCTCTCACCCTCCCTCCCTCTCTGTCTCCATCTTTCTATATTTTGAAAACATTACATTACAGGGGAGCTTGGATTAAGACACCCATAATCACTATGGGCACAAGAAAAGTTCTCATCCCTCTCTCTCTCTCTCTCTCTCTCTCTCTCTCTCTCTCCCTCCTTTCCTCCCTCCCTTCCTCTCTCTCCCCCTCTCTACATTTATCTCTGTTCCTATTCTTCTCCGTCCCTCCCTTTTGAGTCATGACATCATGGGAGGTAGGATTAAGCCACCCATCATCACGATGGGCACAGTGAGAGTTCAAAGAGACATCATTATCAAAAAAACCTGCCAGGGATGAAGTTCCAGGGGACCGTTTCGTCTCACCTTATCATCCATCCATAACCATGACGATCATCAAAGAGAAGGAAAACATCACACTACTCAGGCATACGATAGCCCTCAGAGGTTGATGTCAAAAAAGGCTACTGTGAAAGTTACTTTTTGGCGCACACAAAAGCTTTTCCTATAAAAAAATTCTCTCATAAATGTTTTCACAGGGTCTACTTTAAGGCTTGGCAAGACCTTATTGGGAATTAAGTAATTTGTTGTACAAAAATTGCATTATAATTTAATAATGAAGACGCCAATTATAAGAGGCTGCAGATCCACTCATAAGGGAACTTAAGGTGGTTTTTCTCTATAAAGTACTCATCAGTAAATACTGGCCATTATATTTTTTGTTCGCAATTAAAATTGGGTACAGTATAAGAAAATTGTACTTATTGAAGGAGGTTTGCAACCTAAGGGCTGCTGACATGAATGCATTATACATATATCATATATGCTTACATACATTGACCATTTTGATTTTTCTTTAAGTGTAGCTAGCTTTTTCTTGAAAAGTAAGTTAAACACACTTTAGTTCTACACCCCTTGATTTCACTTCAGATGTGATTTCTAGAGCAAAATATCTTCTTTTCTCATGTAATTTTGTTGCAGTTCTTTGAACGCATTTCAGAATAACATCACTATCAGCATGCATGTGTTTACGGGCAGCCAACAAACTATAACATCAGGAGAAAGCTAGTGTTCGGTAAAATGAAGAAACACTACCCTCTTATGATGGCACACTAATCAATAATGTCTTGTTTTACTCATAGACGGCAAGTCTAGAAATTTTGGAGGATGTGTCTAAATGCTTGTCTTACATCACCATCCTTTTACTAAAGACACGTTTGACATGAACATGAGAGAACAATATTGGTAGAGTGTGAGAGAGAATGGAGAATGAATAGTGAGAGTGGAAATACAGAAAAGAGCTTTGCAGGAGAGAGAAGGGAGATACAGGAGATATTGTAGAAAGAGTAAGATAAAGGAAGAAGGGTTAAGGTAGGGATAGACAAGATAGAGAGGGAGAGACAGAATGAATACATACACTGGGAGAGAGATAGAGAAGGGAAGGGAGAGAGAGAAAGAAAGAGAGAGAGAGAGAGAGAGTATACAACAGATGGAGAGGGGACAGATAGAGATGGGGAAATTGTGAAATAGTTAAAGAGACAAAGATAAAGCAGGAAAAGGAGAAGAAGAAGAAGAAGAATAGAAAGAAGAAGGAGAAGAAGAAGAAGAAGAAGGAGAAGAAGAAAAAAAAAGAAGAAGAAGAAGAAGAAGAGAGAAAGAGAGAGTTCCCTTCCCCTTTCGAAAACAAAATGAACGTAGGTCTTTCTGATGTCTAGATCAAACTGGAATGGTGCTTGTCGGCATGATTCATATTACCAACCTAGGAGACGTACATATGTACTTGACAAAGCAAGAGGTTTTATGTTACACTTGACAGAAGTCTGTAAATTTGCATTATGCCTCCGTCTAAATGAGCACCCCTTCCTTCAAATTGAGAAATTTTCATCAAAGGCAGATTCCTTTTTTTAAACATCTTTAATTCTTATTTATTGCAAATGGGAATAGCTTCCTAAATTTTTTTGAAATGCCTTTTTCAACCTACTTATTTTAACCCATTAACACTTGGATTCTCTTATGCCCATAGGCTTAATACAGGGGCCACCTAGTCCCAGGAGGCAATGAGTTAATGTAAGCGTTCAAGATATAGATTTCAAGATTTTAAGATAATATTTAGTACCAGTGTGGTACCAGTATCAAGCATTGAAATTGAAACCGTGTGGTTCGTCCAAATTGAAACAGAGCCTGATCGAAAGCTAGGCGACCACAGTAACCATCGTCATCGAGACCAGACAATGTGTTATCATCATTATCTCACAAAAGTCGATGTAGTGCAATGCACTTATCATAAATAATACTCTCAGATTGCATTCACTCTCTATATAGTGAGAGTCTTGAGACTTTATGTTTGAGAATACACAAGGTACAGGTACAATGTCTTGAACCGAACGTCATCTAAACATACTAAATACCACAATTGAATCTGTTAGAATCAATCATAAAGAGTTTAATGATCCTTGAAAAATAAATACTTACATGCTAAAATTCAAACTTATTCAGATCACACAAAGGTAGAGAGGATACAGGAATTTTTAGGATGGAAAAGAAAACTGAAAGAGCAAATCACCTGTTCAGAGCCAAAAGGGCATTAACTCTGTGTTAAAGCCCCCATCATGGCTCCAAACATACGGTACGAGAACAAAGATTATGTGAAGATGGTAGAGAAGAACTTATGATTAACAGAGAGAAAAATGGATAGTATGGTGGCAGAGAAACAACAGTGAGAAAACATCTATACAAAAAGGCAGCCCGGGGGAAGGCAAATAGAGGAGATCGGGAGAAGGTGGATGGGGAATGCAAATGGAAAAGGAAAAAAATATTCAATCTCAGCTCCGAGAAGAAAAAGGAAGATAATTTCCTTACCTTTGGACTGCCATCTTGCTTGGGTTTATCCTTAGCGAGCGTCCCGAAGATGGTGGGCTGTGGAAAACAAAATGGAGACACTTTTAAAAACCTGAAACCGTATCCCAGAGCTAAACATGATTTCCCAGCGGGGTATTTTATACCTTAACCCATCGCTGACAAGAACTAGGTGGTCCATGTATTAAGCCTATGGAAATGAGAGAAATCAGGAGTCAGTGGGTTAAATGAATATACCGGTATTCCTCAGACGTATACCTAGAGGTGATAATTAGAGGCAGGTGAAACATAAAATGTTAGACAAATTATTAATGCTTCGATGCTACATTTCTTGATGAAGCAAATGCCTGAAAAGGAAAGATATAAATGGAAGATTTGTGGTTTCAATGATGAAATGTTCAAATCACACAAGTTATTGTAAATGGAGCATGAAAGTGTTTGTTTCATTCAGGTATTTATCAGTTAGACTGGGGTTCATGTTTAATCTAATAGTGTTACTGTTGAAAGTGTTGATTGGTCAAACATACATATACACGTCTCTATAAAAGAAAAGTGCTGTAACTTGAGGAACACATGAACATGATGATGGGAGGGGGGAGGATAGGTAAATGCAGAAAAAGAAGAGTCCTTTTTCAAATCAAACATTTTAAAATAGATAAAGCAACCATATCAGCAGAGGTAAGATATTAGAACATGTTATAAAGGTTAAACACACACAGATAAACAAAATAATGCAATAATCAGTCCTAAGTCAACATCTTAGGAAGATGACACAGATTTAAAAAAAAAAGTTAAACAAACAACAAAGCAAATATAAACAAATCTAGTAAACACATTGAAATGATTAAGCCAAAGAAAGAACAGGAATACATTTTCATTTTATAATATAACATAAATTCAATAATACAGAAAACTTTCTGTTCATGTGGGATCAGATATACAATCTTTTTTCTTTTTTTCCCCATTCAATTGGCAAACCTAATAACATGTATACTCAAAGAGCCCATCAATTTCAGTTGCCTCTAAGGTATGTTACCATTACAATAGATAGGGAACACGGGAAGGCAATCCACTGTGCTAAGAGCTATTTGATTAACGGTACTCCGAAAATCCAGGGCACTTTCAGCGATTACATTGTAAAATCTCTCTGATGCAGTCATCAGTGTGATGACATAATACTACTTGATCCTGGGTGTGCGCTATTAACTCTTGATTTAATGCATTATAAATGCTATTGCTGAAGTAAGCATAACATACACACATATACCTGTATATCCTTTCCTTCTTTTTCTCCATTTATATGTAAACATCATTCATGCCATCTACGAAAATGCTAACATGATCAGACACATCTTAAAGTTGCTCAAGCGTAGGTATATAGTCCCTCGTGAATTAGGCAACTTGGCGATCACTCCCGATCATTATAACACTGAGCCAATGGGTATTACGCTCCTAGCTGTGCGTACGTCCGTGTGCTCCCCTCTATATACCCACGCTTGAGCAACTTTAAGGAAACCTCTGATGCTGACATACAACACAAACTTAATCAATCTGAGAAAGCAACGTAACCAAAATGTTGTCTTATGTACATACAGAAGTACAGTGATCTTAAAGGCACACTGTCCTACTTATAGCTACTTGCTCCCTCTATATAAAAAACTTCCCCAATCGGTGCCTGTTGGTCCCCCATGATCCTCTTTTTCTTATGTTAAATAAGAGCTGAGTTAATGAGATAGCCACCTGTCACAGTGACCTCGCTGGCTCGCTGGGCGGTCTAATCCCTTCTTGCTGAAGTAGTAAAGCCTACCTTTAACTCTTTGGCCAACCAATGGAACAAATAGAGAAATACCACAGTTGATTCTTGTCATACATACATCATGTACTCCAAACAATGTGACAATCCAGGAGGTATTTCACAAAGCGTTTTTTTCAATGACAAATGACAAAAGTCAGTGACAAATCTGCTGATAACCAATCAGAAGCAAGGATTTCACTAACTTATAACAAAAACTGTCTTTTGTCACTGATGACAAGTTTTGTGGAACACCCCCCCTGGACTTCAATCCATGGCAAATAAAAAGTAAAAACAAAGTGGCACCACTAACCCTATTACATCAAACACCAACCCTTAACCAACTACCACTTACTGTAAGGGCCACTCCAAATCGGAAGAGGTCCTCCCGTATCAATGAGTGATGCAGGTGAAGCGCATTCTGCTTGGGCGCGAAGGATCCGTCCGACCCGATGTTGAAGGCCACAGAGCTACAGTGGCATACCTTGTCCCATATGAAGGTGGTGAGGCTATGCGGCGGCGGCGAGTTCCCATTTCCGTGCATGTTTCTCCTATATCAATACATGGTGGGTGTCCATGCAGAGGGTTCCAAAAAGGTGGAAAACTTCTGTATAGGTTGTTCTCTTGCATTAAGAGGTCCTTCCGTTGGGTGAATTCAACACAACACCACTGCTATTGATTTACACTGAATTATGATAGAGTTTGTAGAGACATTAGAGAGTACATAGGCATCTCTCAAAATTGATCTCCAATAAAATGGTGTTGAAGCGCCACTCATAGAATTAATAACATATTATAGCAAAATGCTTTTCTGGATGTGTAGAAGATGATATCCCAGTCAGAAGATGCAGGAACTACCTTATCAATATGCTTCATCATCATCTGTAGCATTCATCTGTAGCAGCATCTGCAGCAACACTAACACTAAGGATAACCCGAGGCTATGCGGCACCTACGCATCGGTTACAACAGGCATCAAAGATTTCAAGAATAAGGGCATTTTGAGTATTTTCTCACTTTATAATGCCATGGCAACCACCACTCTGAAGATTCAATCAGAATATTCCTGTTCTCTTCGTGAACGAATCTTTATCAAGTCATCAAGTAATTGTATTCCTACTACCGGTACTCTAAAGATCCAATCTGCTTTTGTCTGTTCTTTTAATGGATGATTCCTTATAAAGTCATCAAGTAGTACATTCCAATCTGATGCTCATTGGTAAAACTGGGAAATGAAGAAGACAAGCTTTACAAACACACTGAGTACAAATAGAGAATCCCTACATTTTGATCTCAACATCAGGCTTCCACCCACAGACGTTACTGTAGATGTCACAAACACACTTGAAGTTCTAATGATACTCCTTCTAAAAAGGCAAATTTTAAAGCTCAAATATTCTCCTGTCTCACTTAGAGCGCGTTTATCTAGGCTTGCCACTAGATATGTACATATCGTACCCCACTATCGAACCCCACTATCATACCCCACTATACGATCGTGATTTGCGGGATGTCGCGTTTATCTACTCTTCACGATTCAAAATAAAGGCCTTGTGTCTGCCCAGCTGTTTTGACCCGGGAAGCAGACAGTTTCTCGGAGGTCAAATTCACACACATGCTTGTACACAACACCTGTGTGGTCCTATTTGTATGTGACGTTCAAAACAGCTTTGCGTTTATCGACCTCTCAGAAACGTGATTCTGGCTGTATGTCACATACAAAACGCACCTTTTTGCGTCTTTTGATATGCCCATATCTAAAGACGTTTGAAAAAGGCTTTGCGTTTATCTACTTCTAAATTTGCCTGAAAGACGTTTGAGAAACCTGATTCTAGCCAAAAATTTCCTAGATAAACGCAACCTTAGAGAGGAATATTTAACAGCAGACATTGTTAGTTGTCCTTGAAATTGGATATAAGTAACACTATCCTCTACACACAACAAAGATGCCCCATCCCACTGAAAATGAGGACAAGCAATCTCATCGACACAATGGCCAGTAACACATCACAAATCCTAACAATGGACAAACTTGCACCACGTATCATATTTTAGAAAAGAGTTAAGCAAACAACCTACCGTAGTTAGACCGCAGCACCAAAAAAAGCCTTGAATATTATACATCTCTGTTTAGAGCCAGAAGGTTGTTAACACTGTGTTAAAAGATATGAGTTATATTGCCCTTCTGGTTCCAAACAGAAGATATATCCTGCACTATTCACCTACTAGAAAAAACAAATTCTTCCATGACAAAGAGACACCAGGAAAACAATATGAGCTGGAGAAGGGTTGGATTTTGCCTCTGATAAAGCACTGCTCAAAGGATATGAATAAATGGCATCAGGCATGATCGTGCATTAGGAAATCAATGGGCGACACTCTCGTAAACATCTCAAAGTGGGACATACATAAATTCGGTCAAATCGGCGTGAGCACATCCATTCCCAGTAAAAAGCAAAACACCTCCTTTCACAGACACGGCTGAGTTTGCAGAATGCAACTGCCCATCCATACACTAGAACAGGGCGACTTCAAGTGGGCAACAAGAGTAAAAGCACTGGTGCCTGTAAGTGCCCCCTTCTCAATAAGGCCATAAACGTTTAGAGCAGTGACAGTGCATTCAGAAGGCCAATGTAAAAGTAGGTAAGTGGTCTGCTACTAGAAACAACATGTGTTCAGAAGAATCCATGCCTATCACTGGCCGTCCATATAAAAGCTGTAGGTTTACCCATCCTTTTTTTAATTTGATATTCCCGATGATATGAGTGGATATTCCAAACTATGCTTTTCCAGAGCTAAATCTATGATATCGAGAAGTATGAATAATATGAGAATAGGTTATCTGCAAATCTCTCACAGAGCACACAACTGGAACAGTTTCCATCAACAAGATATCATATGCTATGATTGAGTATTCAAAAACATGCTTTTTCTTGAGCTTGAGGCGTAAAGATGCAAAACCTTTGAAAATGGGTCATCCCTAAATCCATTACTTCATGTATAATACAAAATAATCAATGGTTATTTGTCTAGAGACAAGTATGCAACGTACCCTAGCAATTGAAAAACAACAAGCTGTCTTGCATACAGTATATCTACGGAAGTAGGGGACATCCAGAATCACAGAGTAAATACAAATATTGTTTGTTACAGTACGAGTTGATGCACTTCTGGCTCCATATAGACAATATTTTGAAAGGAGTAGATAGCAAACAATTAACTGCCTGTTGTATTTATGGCACAGATATGCAACATGATGGCATAAACA